CATGGCCAAGATCTGTTTAAAGAAATTGTGGATATGGTTGGTTTCATTTTTGTAGCATTCATTCCTTCAGTAGTTTATCACATTTCAACTATAGTAGTTTATCACATTTCAACTATAGTTAATGAGTACACGTAACTATAAATTAGATGTGCAATACTTGGCGAAACCATTATAAGGAGCGAGTACATGTACCGTGTACGCCATGCCAGCATATCGGCATGTGTGCGTCTCCCTCACGCCCTATAAAGTGCATTAAATGCTTTAGGAAATGGGGATGAAACATGAAGGCTCTAAGCTCATAGATAACATCCGGCTGTATTAAAGAAGTGTTTGTCATATCAACATTCAAAGTGGATACTTGACTTTAATTGTCTTTGCTCCTTCAATTTTCTTTGATTTCTCATGCCATGGAGTTATGGTTTTTCACTCATAGAAGAAGGGTGAAGGAGAACAAGAAATTTGTTTTTTCACACAACATCTACATGGTATCAAGAGAACAATTTCACTAAGTGTGTTTTTTTTTTTAACCAATCCTATCTTCTTCTTAATTATTTCTTCCCCACATTGGCTTCCGCTTCTGCAACTACATCTCTTGTTCATTTAACTACCCCAACACACTTCCCCATCTGGCAAAATGACACTAGTTTCCTAGTTTACAATCGTGGTCAAAGCCATGTTTGTATATTGATTGATTTGTTTCTAAACCATGGTCAAAGCCATGTGTGTATATTGATTAATATGTTTCTCAATATGCATATAAGTGGTCAAAGCTGATTACAAATCATATTTATCATTTATGTCATGTCACATTTGTTGAGTCTGCATTTGTTGGGAAAACATTAAAAGAAAAGAAGTTTTTGACCTTATAAGTTGTCCCACATAAATCATGAAGTGTTATGGAGAGAAAACAAAGGGAAACCACCACAAGAATATTTCTTTGCTGCAGAACCATATCCTTCCAATAATGCTTTTTTTTTTTTTTTTTTAAATTCCTTTTACCTTGTCAGCTATACATATTTCAAATCCAACTCCACCTAATCATACTAATCAGGTTGCATTCTAGAGTCTCATAATAATTCAAATGTGCAAGTGTACCCGTAATTGTCATATACTAGAATGAGAAATTACCATTAGGACCTTAATTGTAACATTCAACTAACATAGAACCACTATAGTCGAGGACTATATTGGGTATTAACACCATTATAAACGTAGACGTCGTCCAACTTTGAAGATTTTGAGTATAGCTTAAGATGGGTAAACTCTATATACAGCTTATAAATATCATCAAAATTGAAGACAATTAGAACTCTCATTGATACGAATGATAGCACACAAGTTAGGTTAAAAGGCTGAGAGGCAAACACCAAACATACAATGCAATGGAGCAATAAAATTTAAGTGTAATCATCAAAACCCGTGAATATTATTGGTCAATGGTGCTCGGGCTATCAATAGATTCTTAGGAAGTCTCAAACAAAATGCCAAATTGGCCATCACTATAGATAATCTGCAAACAAGTCTACAACTACAAAGCCAGTACTAGTCAGTGAGATTTCACATACTCCTGAACAACATGGAGACCTTCGGTTTCCTCTCCAAAATCCTGCAGAGTATCCAAAAGTTAACACACGAAAAGCAATATTATAAACATACAATGCAGTAAGAGATTCCCGGCTAACCTTCACAACAACACAAGAACATCCGACCACCTTCCTAGCTTTCCCCTCTGAATCAATCTTGCACAGCTGTTCAAGTGAAAAAATAATTAAGGACTAATTCAAGATAACTCAAGCGTTCAGTCTGAAAAGTGTTTCTCTACTCTGCACTTGTATCTTGGAAAAAGATTAGTTGATAAAAAAGAATCCTACTTACACCGGCCCACTCTCCGAGTGTCTTTGCACTAGGAACGGTAATTAGGTTCACGTTGTGGTCTGTACAAAGTGCTTTGACCAACTTAACATAATCTGGCTGATCACAGTCCTCTGCTAACACGCACAACTGGGCAGCATGCTTCTCAATCACTTTGGCACCTTCATGAAGACCTCGAGTCAACCCACCATGGGCCAAGGATTTCCTCAATACAAGCTGCAATGCTGTCATTGTATCCATGGGCTCACCGAGAGCAGGAGCAGGAGCAGGTGCCTCAGCAGCAACATTCTCTTCACTGAAAGGAAATGGAGATAGATTAATCAAAAATGGAGTGAATATTAGCTAGTAATATGAATATAGTAGAGGTCAAAGAAATGGAGATGAATAAAAAAACATTTGACACATGATAGATTCAAAAACAAATCCAATTGATCCTAAACACTTTGTGACAGATATAAAAATGTGATAAAGCTTCATTTTGGGCTAAATATTCGCCTAGAATTTTATGAACTACGGGCAAGAACTAGATATATGCACATCCTTTATATTTCATAGGAAAAGACAGAATGGAAATAGAACAATGCCAAAATGTCTATTCAACAAATAAAGCAAATTATCATAACATCCTAATCAAGTGAGCTTAATCTCAAAAGCTAAATAAATTAAAGAAAGATGCAATTGCATTCTTACAGTAATAACAATCACATTACATACCCTGACATTTTATCTTGTTATTTCAGCTCTTTGCCTTAATCCTGCAAGGAGAAAAAGAAGTCAAGAGAAGGAACATAAAAATGTTGAAAAAATCTATCAAATTAGACAGCCCAGAACTAAGAAAAAAATAGTAAGCATCATATCTATCTATCAATCTATCTATAATTGTTTAAAGGCTACAAAGATAATAACTTTAAAAAGGGGGAGGGACTAGCTAAACAAAATTTCTGGATGCAACAATCACTAGCCTTGATGCTTGAAACAACCACAAAACACAGGGAAGGATTATGATATTAATAGCATTTAACATGAAGGTAAATAGTTTACAATACTTCAAAGCAATGATCTAGTTTTGCTAGTCCCTCTCCCACTACTTAAACCTCGTATTGTCTATATATAATTCAGAAAAAAAAAAAAAAACTATAGTTCCAGTTTAAACCTTTAATAACCAGATCAAATTATGTAAAATTGAGCTGGCTTATTCAACATAGGAAAAATACTAGTAATAAGCATAGAAATAAGACATATTTTCAAAACCTAAGATCGCTCATTTACTGCTTGAATTCACCAAAAATCCTGAGCTATCGACATGTTCTATACAATCGAATACAAACACATCTACATTCACTAGATAAGACGGACCTTGTATAGATAGCATAGAAGATTAGAGGCGGGTGGTGGTGTACCTGTAATGAATGCACTGAAGAAACTGTGAGCGAGCAAGGACGAAGAAGACGAGATATACTAAATTTATATAAACCCTAAAATTAGGGTAGTACAGTAAAGATCAGTATTAATGGATCGGCCCCAACTTCCACTTTGGACAACATTGGGCCTAGTTAGATCGCATGCTTAGTAATTTAAATGGGCTAACTCATTATAAAATCTAGGGAAAAGGGTCAAATAGGGTCCATATCATTCTTTTATGCGTGTAATTGCACCTTTGAAAATTTGAGGAGGGCTAATTAACTTTTCAACTAAAGTTCGATAGCCTATTTGTCTCTTTTCCCTAAAATCCACTATATACACACACTAACAATAGTCAATAAAGTTAGGCCTATAACAGAAAAAAAAAAAATGTTCATTCAATTATTTGATGAAACAAATGGTTTAGATTATTTTGATTTTAGTATTTTTTTTTTCTAGTTTACCATCTATTATATTATTTTCTTCTCTTAAATACCTCTCATTCCGTTAGTATAAACTTTAGTAACGGAATATTCTGTTAACTTAGGTCAAGGTTGCAGTAGGTGCTAGGCGCTAGTCGGACGACCGGGCAGCGCTAGGCGGGCACCAAAAAAATTTAAAAAAAAAAAAATAGTGACAGATTTGTAGTTTGACAATCAACATTCAATCAAATAACACATCTAAATAAATGAAATAATGATAATTTATAAGTCATAACGTCATAATAATATTAAAATCAATAATTAATGAAAGACGACATCTGTCAAAATCGAACAAAATCGGTCAAAATCAGCCGACTTGGTCGAGTTTGATCGCCCAGGCGGCCGGCCGAGTTTTGACCGCCTTTAGGCCAAAACGGCAAGCCTCGGTGCCGCCTAGCGCCTAGGCGACCGAGTTTTGCAACCATGACTTAGGTTCGAATCCCATCTGTTATAAACAAAATGTTCGAATCTCATCCCAATCAGAGTTGACATATAAAATAAAGTTTATAAAAATACATTTTGTCTGAAGCTTGAAGAATAATTCCAATTTAAATTAGATGCAAATGGCGAAAGAGATGAGAAAATAGAGAGAAAGATAGTGTAAAAAATCATAGGTTAAACAATGATGAAATAGAAAATAAAATATATAAGTTATTCATGTAAACTCAAAAATAGCTTAATATTATGGGCCTATAATAATTATTCCCCTTGTGGGGAAAAAGCTAATTCCCAAAAACAATATTTCTTGTAATACAAGAAAAGGAATATGTATTACTGAGGAATGTTTTTTTTAAACATATCTTATTTGTACAAAGATTTTAAACTTGAATACTAAAATATTAATTTTAAAATACTTCTTTATCTCATTTATGTATCTCGATTGGCTTGAATTAACTAAAATTATTTACAATTATAATTCAATATTTCATAATATTAAGTTCAATATTAATTTATATTTTTTAAATGTTTAATTTAGAAAATTATGTTAAAATTATTATTAAATATAAAAAAAATTAAATGATAAACAAATAAATAAAATAAAATTGACTAATGAACAATAAACCTAACTTTTAAAATGAGATACGAAGGTATTTGATTTGAATGATCAAAATTCACATATATTTGAATATATATATATATATATATATATATTTTTTACCAATAAATGTTTATATGAAACGTACCCAACCCAACAGGAATCCATGCCTATAAAGCGGTTCTCTATCTTAGTATAAACTTTTTCGAAGTCTTTGGTCTCCTTCTGACCTTCTCCGAATCTCTCCCTGATGTTTCTCAGAAGAAAAACAAAAATTGCAGAAAATCGAAAGGAAATATTTAAAAATTAAAAAGTTCTTCGCATAATTGAAGGAGGTGAACAAGGAAGGGGGACCCATCCGCGTTCACCCCGATGACTCCGAATCTGTGTTTCCATAGATAGGAAAATAATAATTATCAATTAATTCACCTTAGGTTTTTTTTTTTTTTTTTTTTTCTTTTTTAATAACCCAAATTCATATTCTTCATGCTTATCTTTGTCAAAATTGAAGCCTCGGCAGTAAACGCTCGGTTTCCTCCATCAATACGTCGATTTACGGTTCAGAGGCGGCATCTTTATTGAGTAGAAGGTAAGATTCGATTTTTTTTTTGTTGGGTTCATTTTTGTTTCTGTTAATTTGTATCGTTTTTTTAATGGATGAATTAGTCGTGGATTTAGGTTTTCATTGATTAATTTTTGAGTTTTGTTTGTTTGTGTCTGGATGTGTTATACATATTGCAGAAAATATTTGGTGGGCTTGTATATTCTTGATCAGATTTATTGTTATTGTTTATTTTGTTGCAGATCTGTTTTGAATTTGAAGCATTTTGGATATATCCGTATTCAGATGCTGTACAGTTGTAGAAAAAAATTGGGTGATTCATTAGGAGTTTTAGTGATTTGAGTAGAGTTGTTGAAGGTATTTTGGTGTTTGAGGGAGATGTCGCTTTTGTCGAAAGACGATTCCATTCATATTCGAGAAGTTTGGGATGATAATCTTGAAGAAGAGTTTGCTCTCATCCGTGAAATTGTGGATGGTTATCCATACATAGCCATGGACACGGAGTTCCCAGGCGTTGTGCTCCGGCCTGTGGGCAATTTCAAGAGCAGCTATGATTACCATTATCAGACCCTAAAGGACAATGTGGACATGTTGAGGCTGATTCAGCTAGGACTCACTTTCTTTGATGAGAAGGGGAACTTGCCAAAGTGTGGAACTGATAAGTACTGCATTTGGCAATTCAATTTCCGGGAATTCAATCCCAACGAGGATGTTTTCGCCATTGATTCAATCGAGTTGTTGCGCCAGAGTGGCATCAATTTCGAAAAGAACATTGAGAAAGGTATTAGTGTTAAACGCTTTGGGGAGCTCTTAATGTCTTCAGCGATTGTGCTGAATGATAACGTGCACTGGGTTACCTTTCACAGTGGATATGATTTTGGGTACTTGCTCAAGGTCTTAACATGCCAGGCATTGCCAGATACACAGGTCGGGTTCTTTACCTTGATCAACCTTTACTTCCCAGTTCTTTATGATATCAAGTATTTGATGAAGTTCTGCAATAGTCTTCATGGTGGGTTGAACAAGCTTGCAGAGCTGCTGGAGGTTGAGAGAGTCGGTATCTGCCACCAGGCCGGTTCAGATAGCCTTCTCACAGCTTGTACCTTCAGAAAGTTGAAAGAGAACTTCTTTAGTGGCTCGTTAGAGAAGTATACTGGTGTCTTGTATGGTCTACAGTTTTAGGTATTGAGAATAGACAGAATAGTATTATATGAAAGAAACTATAAAAACTATGAACCAAAAAAAAAAGGAGATAGGAATAGGAATCTATGGAATGACGTGTGTGCTTGTTGATGCCACACTTCTTTGTATACTCTCAATGAAAAAGTTTGTTTTTTATTTATGAAATCATATGCATTATATCACAACTTCTGCCCTTCATATTTACTACAATGTGAATTGTGCTGCCAAAAAAATTACCATTTATGCTTTTGGTTCTTTCATTCGATTATTACTTGCTCTTGATTAGAAGGCTATATTGATATTCAACTAGAAATTTTTGTTGTTAATTTTCTGGCTTTATACTTTTGGACAGTTAACAGCTTTTAGACATATAGTTGGACCTGGTGAGTGGCATCAATTTTGAAAAGAACATTGAGAAAGGTATTAGCGCTAAACGCTTTGGGGAGCTCGTAATGTCTTTGGGTATGGTGACATTGGGCATCAACTGTTGGAAGGTAAGGTGACACTTTAACGGTCTTGAGTTATTGCAACATAATGTGAGTAGAAACTGGAAGATTGTTATCCGAAATGAGGTGTATGTTAACCATATCGTTTGGATGGTGTGTTCTTAATGGATTTGCTGTATTATCATTGCAGTTTCCTGTCCAATATGGCAATATTTGCTTGAATTTTTTTTTCTTCTGTCCTCTTCTTCAGTTTTCTATGTTAGGAGCTTTGTTTGTTGTGGTTTGATATTAGAGTTGCATCTTTCCGGGAAAGGTTTAAAAGTTTCAGTTTGTTGCTGGTATAAGGTTTTCTTCCTAGATAAAGTGTTTTTTATTTTCTTGTGGAGCTTATTGGTGCCTCCAAAACTGGGCATAACATGGTTTTAACTAGGTTGTTTAGAGTAGATAATTGTTTGTCATTCCTTGGCAGGTAATTCAACTATCAGTTTTGACCTGCCAAGGAATGACAAACACTTGAATGGATTCTCGAATGTAGACATTAGAGAAGAACCAGGATGAAATACACGCCGAATTGGGAAAACACTGAATAATCGTGTTGCAACCATCGAAGCTGCCATTGCTAAGATGTTCAATCTCCTCACCCTTTCTCCCCAAGGCAAAGGACACGACGATGCCAGTACATCATCGACAACAGTCCCAACAATAGATTCAACTCTCCTATCAGGCAGTTTCAACCAGACAACACCATACTTCTCACGGGTAAACTGGAACTTCCTACCCCGAGTTGAGCAATACTTTGCTATACACCATACCCGAGATGATTTGAAGGTTCCTATGGCCTTTATCAGGGTTCCAATGGCTACAACAGCAAAATCCTACTTTGACATGATCCCAATTTACTCACGACATGTTAGAGGAGTTTGGTGAAGAACTACTTGGTCCACCATTCAAGCAGCTTGCTGCTCTTTGCCAGATTGATAAGGTAGATGAGTACATTGCCCATGTTCGAGCTCAGATTGCACAGATTTTGGGACTTGCGCCTCACATTCAATTGGGACTTTTTCTCAATGGCATGAAACCTGCGATTTGGATACGACTTCGACCGAATGATGTGACAAACCTCAAAACGAAAATGCGGGTGGGTCGTGTAGTGGAACGAGAGATTGATTTTGTTTCCACCGGTTGACTCCTTAGCCGCGGCATATACGAGGTAGAAACTTCGTTCTAAAAGAATTCATCACATACTGGGTCAAAAGGGTATGTGCAAAACTATCAGGCAAATTCTTTTTTTAAAAATTCACATCCCACACCCATTTCAGCCCATTCCCATGACTTTAATAAAACTCAGATATCTTCCTCCCAAACACAACCTTCTGGTTCCATATGTAGCTTAGCTTCGACATGACAATGTCACGGGCCTCTGGCACGACATTATTCTAACAAAGAATATTTGGACATGAGAGCGAAATGACTTTGTTTTTGGTGCCAACAACCTTATAACCCATTGCATGTGTACCCAAATAAGTCCCTCAGAATTTTAATCGCAGGAGAAGATGAAGATGGTGATGATTAGGGCTGGGCACTTCGGGTTTCGGTTCGGTTTTTTTCGATTTCGGTTTCGGTTTCGGTTTTTCGGTTTTAAAAAAATTAAACCATTCGGTTTAAAATAGAGTTCGGTTTCGGTTTGAAAAGTTCGGTTCAGTTCGGTTTCGGTTTCGGTTTGGTATTCGGTTCGATTTAGGTGAAAGTTTACTATTTGAACGTTTCTTTTTTTGTCTGACCGGTTGTTCAGTTGACTCACTTGAAGTGCCACTTGAAGTGTTTTGTTGATGACAAAATGAAAAATCATTCATCTATAGTTAATATTTGAAAAATAAAAATTACTAAAACACCAAATGTTTGGACTTACAACTTGGAGTTGGGATTTGAGGACTTGAGGAGTTAAAATTATTAATTGTTATAATATTTATATACATAAAAATTTAATTAAAATATAATCAACAATTAAAGTAATTATATAATGATTTTAATAAAATAATAATTAAAGAATAGGAAACAGGTATCATAGTTAATTATTTATATATATATATATGTGTGTGTGTGTGTGTGTGTGTGTGTGTGTGTGTGTGTGTGTGTGTGTGTGATAATAATGATAGAATTATGAAACTTTAGAATTAAATAGCAACGGTGTAATAACGGTATAATGGTATTTTAGTCTAACAAGAATGTAGTACGGATAATTTTATTCATTATATTTGAAGTGTGCAATATTTAATGAAAAATGTATACCCTTATTAGCATACAAATGTGAATATAGCCATGAATGTGGATATAGCTTAGTGGGTAAAGTTCTTAGTTTATAATCAAATGAGTAAGAGTTCAAACCTCATCTTAAATATTTAATATAATATATATCTATTAATATATTAAAAAAAAAAACAGAAAACTGATCGGGTTATCGGTTCGGTTTTTAACCGAACCGATCGGTTTCACCTAAACTAGGACCGATCGGTCTTTCGGGTAGAAACCAAACCGAACCGGTTCGGTTTGGGTAACCCGAACCGATTTGCCCAGCCCTAGTGATGATGGCACCAATGATAGTGGCGGTTATTGATTCATGGCCATCTTTTGAATTTTTATGGCCCATTCTTGTAAATAAATAAGGCTTGATGTAGTAAATACTTGCTTCTACTATGGATATGTATTTTAATCGAATCAATTGTATATAGTATGTACGAATATTTGAAGAAGAAGAGACCAATTGGTCTAAGAAAGCCTTTTCTTATTAGGTGTTTAGAAAGTCTTTTAGAGAGAGTGTAGATGGGAAGTGAGTGGAGTGGAACCCCCTAACTTGTGCGTGGCCTCCCTTAAATAGGTGGAAGCCTCACACAAACACCTGACCCTGGTCCAAATACCGAACATGAGCTTAGAACGTACAAGGACGTATACCCGGAGAATATTTCCTATCAATAATCATGCTCAATTAATTATGAGAGAGAAGTAGAAATTGAATTGCAACTTTGGTAATCAAAGAAATTTGGGGGAGACTTGTAAAATTAATGAGGAATGAATGATCTTGACCTCTTCAATGGTGGTGCGTAATTTGGGAAAAAAAAATTGATGAGTTTTAGGCAAGATAGAAAGAGGCAGGAAGGAATGTAAGATTATTGCAGATTTTTTCTTAAACTTTTTCTTAAGCAACTATGTCAAAAATAAATATTGATCCATCCAAAATTGAGGCCCTATCCGGTTGCGCATTATACACGGGCCAAAAATCGATCCTGATTGTCAAAGACCTGTCGTGAAATTGGAGGGCCGCCCAAAAGACGATACTATTTGTGGGACGTGTCTGACCCCATTCCAATCTTGAGGACAAGATTTTTTTTGGTGGAGTTAATACTTAATACCCAATTTAGTCCTAAACTATAGTGATTTTTCTTAATTTAGTCCTAAACGATGTTTTTGTGCTTAATTAAGTCATCAACTTTGATGATTTTCTCAATTGAGTCCCCTATTAAAGTAACTTGGTAATTTCACATCTATTAATACTCAATTTAGTCTTCAACTATAGTAGTTTTACCTAAGTTAGTCTCTAATAATAGTGGTTTTACCCAATTTAGTCATCGACTATACTAATTTTTCTCAATTTAGTCCTTGATTCTAACAGCGAGGACTCAATTTAGTAAAATCATCAAAGTCGATGACCTAAAAACACAAAAAGTCATTTAGGCTAAATCAAGAAAAATTGCTATAGTTAAGGACTAAATTGAGCATTAACTCTTTTTTGGTGGGTGACAATGATACGCACCCAAGCATAAATCAAGGGATTAGACAAGAATAAATCAGAAACACAATCATATCATTTTCTATATTTATTATTTATTTCTTTCTTTGCACTATAAATTAGAACCTCTAGGTGAGAGGAAAACATCGAATCTTCTATCCTTAGACTTTAAGCTTTAGTAGCTGGGCAAAAGCCTACAATTCTTATTGGATAATGTCATAGTGGCAGTCCTGTTTTTTAGTTTACACTCAATAAAAGTACTTGTTCTTTCTCCCCTCCTGCTTCTTTACTTACCACTTTTTATTGGGTGTGTGGGTGTCACTATTATGCACTAGTTTCATGTCTTCTGATCTTTTGCTTAAGCATTTTGAGTTGTTTGAAATGAAGATGATAACTTGCTACAATGTTGCTTCAAGTTACATGCACACACAGTTGAGATGTCACCCAGTGCCAGTGGGATTGCACTCATTCACCACCCCCCCCCCCCCCCCCCCCCCCCCCCCCCCCCCCCTCTCAAAGCTGTGTTGTTTTCACTGCATCATATATATATACATAAAATTTTTTATCTCCCCATGCTTCCTTCATCCCTCATTAACCTTGAATGGATGCCAACCATAATCTATGCCTGTTATATTTCATTCCGAATGCCATTCAATTTGTCACCATGGCCTAAAGTCAGACAAACTCACTCTGGAGTCTGGAGGGTGAAATCACTTTAAAAAAATTAAACCCAAACCCAAATTACTAACATAATAAAGATAACAACTTTAACCACCATACTACACAATTAATGTTTAATTTTTAATTTGAATAGATATAGCAGCTAACATAAACAACAGTAGATCGATCTATGAATCTATCCCAATTCCCAACATACAAAGTCTTGCTATGATCAAACAAAATGCGCCTGTAAACCGAAAAGCCAGAGCTTCAAACATTAAAAACCATAGGTCACACAATCAACAAGAGAAACAGCTAACACCTAAGCCAACATCTTTCTCTCTCTCAACTATGTATGCCCGCCTTAGAGACCAGGAAAATGCAAGAATCTAGATGAAAATTCCCAAAGCACAAGAAATCGATTTTCAATATGAATAAATGCTGAGCAACATTGTTTTCTCCTCTTCTTCAAATTACTGATCTACCTTGCTCTTATACACCACAACACCAAGCCTTCATCTTGAAATATGTAATAAATCCGAAAGGATGTATACCTTAGTTCAGTTTCTGTCATCTAATCTGTTATCATGTTTCCTAGTGCCATGTGTACTGTTCCACAGTGAAAATAAGGGTGTGGAGAGGCAAAAACACTAACTAAAATGCACTATGAACACTTCCCTTATTTCCTCTCTAAGATAGAAATGGTCTTTGCTATCCAACGAACGTATTCAATTTTATCTTTGTTCCTCATGTATTCGTGTAAGAATACAGCAAGGTCATCGTCGATTCCCCGAGTCTCTAGGAAATCATAAAGCTCATCCTGCAGTTTGTCATCCAGTTCCCTTGAACATAAAAAGAATCAAACAATTAGACCATAATCTCATTGCATTTAACTATACAAGTGCTCCTCTCAACAAGAGAAAACAAAAACAAAAATACAAAACAAATGAGAGACATGAATGACATAGTGAAGTTTTTCATAAATTCACCTAAAGAAGTATAGAAATAGTAGTCCAATCAATTGGCAAAATTGATCACAAAATAGCATTTTATGATTATGGCTTCGAACAAATTTTCAAAAGTTGGTTATCACCTTGGACTCAAGAATGAAACCTCATTTTTGCATTCAAATATGCTTGCAAATGCATGCTCATGACAAGTAACAAAGCTTTAAGAATATGCTTCCAAAGATATCCCACAACCAAATGGTTAGCAGCCAGACAAGGACTAAATTTTAAATGTAAGATAATTTAGGAAGTTGAGAAGTGCAGTAAATTTTATGGGAGATGCATACTTAAAACGAGGCCCTGTATAATGCTGAGCTGCAATTGGACCATGCCCACGCATTATAACTTTGTGAATCTCAATGCTGTCTGGCCATGCTGTGCAAACAAACTCCAGCATATCATTGCCTTCTCCCTTAACGATATCAACAATCATTGTAAGATGAAGATACACTTCATCTTCTTTGGAAGAACCGCCCTTCTTTTTTACAGGAACGGATCGATCGAACATGGTTACATCAACTTTGATCTCTTCTTTCTCTCCAAATTTCTTATTCAGTCTAATCCATTGCTCTCCTGCCCTTTTATCAATCATAAATGATTCAAATTCAGGGACAGACTGCAATTTTAAAACAAAGTTAACTTAAAAAGTGGGCAATATCCATATACACATAAAATCATCCGCACAACATGCAAGTAACCCTATGAAAACATGTTCTAGACTTCTAGCATCATACAGAAAAATGATTATACTTAAAATGTAATTGAAGAAGCCTGACTTAGAGCAACACCACCAATGTTTTTTTTTTTTTTTTTTTGAGTTTTTGTTAGAATTTATCGTTGTTGGATGAGAGAGGAGAGAGTGTGTGTTTTTGGTTCCTGCAAAATAAAGAGTTTTTGGCTCAGTTTTTGCGGAAGAGAAAAAAAAGTAATAAAAATAACATAGAAGAGGGTTCCGTGTCCGCAACAGATTTATTCTTTACCCTGCTTTTAAAAATATATATATTTTCTGCTTTTTTCCCCTCTCCCTCCCTCTATCCTTGTTGGCACCCAAAAACCCAACAAATGTGGTTTCTCTTAGGAAAACTAAGTGTCAATGGGGCACTAGTTGATCATGGAAAACAGAAATTTTTTGTTTTCTCCTCATTGTAGTTTAGTCAATTACTGAAAATCCAACACTATACATACTTTCAGCCACCAGAAAAGAAACAAATCCTAAAAGAAAATGCACCAAAATGAAATGCAAAAGTTATGCCCCAGAAATCAAGTCTACCTCTTCCACAAAAGCAATTATTTATGATATTTCATAGCTTGATGTGAAAAGTGCAAATTAACAAAATTCCTAAACAAGCCCAAAAATAAATAAATAAAAATCAAAGGACTAAGAAATGGTCATGCTTGTCGAAGGCACAAAAGTTTCTTAACACTGAACTCAAAATTGAAGAAATTAAAACGGAAAAAAAAAAAAAAAAAAAAAAAATTTACATATAACTTGATTAAGGGTCTGGGTGCAACGGGGAAGAAAAAGTACCTTAGAGATAGGGGAGCGGTCGATTTCATATTCAACCTCATTTCGTAGTAGTCTGAGCATGTTGCCATCAAAAGCATCCTTTCGCATTTCCGATATGTAATTTCTGGTGGGTGTTGAGATTGCCAAACGGCCCGAACTAAGTTGTTGTAGAAGCCTCTGGGCTGTTCCTCGCAATGGTCGGAGAATTAAGTGAGGCGCCATCGCATCTGAGGTAAACTACAGAAACCCAATACCCTATTGAGGTTTTATAACTCCAAATTGCTACTATAAATATTATAAACTGATGTTTCCAAACATAAATAATAAAACCAAATAAAATTTAGAATCCAAAATAAAATATAAAACTTCTATTCGAACCATAAAAAGATTAGTGACCAAGAAATAAACATAAAATTGCTGTCCAAACTTCAAATATTCAAAGTTCAAAGCACCAAACATAAGTTCACATTAACTACAAGAATAGTGTTCCTCATGCATTTCAAGATTCTATTCTCAAGATAGCCTCATAGCCCATTCAAATCAAAGAAAGATATGCCCAAGAAGAATGGAAACAGTGAGCAAAAGATTATTTCACCCATGACATTGACATATTATTGCTAAGGAATACTCAACCTACCAATATGTATGAATGAATGTAAAGCGGCAGAATAAAGTGATTGCAGTAATTTCACATATTACATAGAAAAAAAAAAAAAAGATATTGGCCCTGTTTGGTAAAATAGTTAGCCTATAGGCCAATTTTGGCTTATTTGACTACTATTAGCTTTTTGATTTGATTAAAAAATCAATATAAATGTTTGGTTAATTAGTTTTTTGTAACTCCAAAATGCTAAAAATCAAAAAGCTTCTCAAAGCAACTTTTTCAATTAGCTTTTTGAGAAAGGAAATTATACCAAACAGGCAAACAGCTATCAACTAACAGCTAATTTACCAAACATTTCTACAATCAGCTAATGTTATCAACTAGTTATACCCTCTAATTAACCCAATCAGCTAACAACTAATAGCCATTTATCAAACAGGACCACTGTCTAAAACCTCTAAATTCACAACTGAGATGCATCAATATAAGAAAGTGCAGCCGGTGCAGGTGTTTGTAATATATCTAATACAAAATTAAAAAAATCTACAAAAAGAACTCAGCAAACATTACAAATCATACTTTACAGACAAAATGAAATATCACTAACTACATTGTATTACTGCAATAGTGCAATGGGATTTGGAGAAAGTATACAAAACAAAGCAAACTGAACATTAAAAAGTTATGATAGCTTGCTAGCAACATGGTTTGATATCATGTGAAAAGATGAGTATTTTACAAAAAAGGCAAATTAGAAATTAAATAATCTATACTTCAAAAAATCATTTCAAATGCTGCATTCGGAAGTTTATAGGAACAATTTTTGAGTGCTGATTTAACACATATGAGTATTAGTATCTCCAGATTGAACTAAGCTTCATAATGAATTCCTGATTTACTTAAGTCTCTCAGAGTTCCATCTCTTCAGATTTTGGCATATAATTTCCTACTGCCGTGTTTCTGTGTAAATCAAATAATAGAATGAATAAATAAAAGAAACACCCATACCTTGGCTTGCTCAGACGCTAATCTATCGAGAGGTGTTGATATGCACAGAGATGCCGTTCGCCGGAGCGCCGGAGCGCCGGAGGGGAAAGGGGTTACTGGGTGAGGCACTGAGCCACTGAGGCGTTGAGACTTGAGAGCTTGTTGGCGTGAGAGATTGAGAGTTAGATTATGCTTTAGGGATCCAGAAAGTTCTACAAAGTATAAATGGTACAGTATATATTAGGAATGGGGTAAAACCATAAAATAGGTTATTCAACTACGTAGAATTGGACTATCGAATTTAAAAAAGATTATATTTATATCTTCAAACAATGTAAAATAATGCAGTTTAACTTAAAATAATTTTTTGTTAGTTTGGTAACATTAGTTACTAAATTTAAAAATAAACTTTTATTTTAATAAATTTAAATAAAATAATTACTTTAAAAACAAAAACTCCTACTTGGTCGCCAACAGGGGTAGGGGTGGTTTTTATTAAAAAGTTTAAATAATTATTTTATTTAAATTTAATAAAATAAAATTTAAAAATATTTTTTAATTTGAAAATCGCCAAGTCAGCATGTTACCAGGTCAATAGGTCATTTTAAGTTGTATTATATTATTTTATATTGTCAAATATCTTGTGCTTAGATGACATGTAATGATTTTTTTATGTAAGAGGTCATGAGATCGAACTTTAGTGGAGGCACGTTGTTGACTCTGTGCGTTTCATTAGGGTGAGAAAGTATATATATATATATATATATATATATTTTTTTTGATTTGATAATCTAATTACAGTTTGTTGTGTAGTTGAATATTATATTTGACCCTTATTCTTATACTAGTTAGTACAGAATGTCTGATGTGTATTTTTAGATTTGTGCATGACTCTCTTATCTCGCTCATAAGTAGAGCATGGTGGTCAGTGGTCGAGGTAATTTGCAGCACCCTAAAGCTGTTAATGGTTATTCCAATTTTTGTTGCAGTAGCTCAACGTCTCACCCTTAGTCTATAATGGTTAAGTTTAAAATCAGTTAATTTACATTGATGCAATAACGCCTCTACTGAGGCTCAAACTCATAATCTTCCAAATAGAAGTCCAACTCGGGTACCATTAGACCATATAGTCCTGGTACATTGATGCACTTAAGTGCATCAATGTGAAAATATAAATTAATTGCACTTTAAGTGATTTTACTTGTATATTTGCATATATTACTTATACTTTTAACATATTTTACTTGCACTCAAAGTTTGAGTTATTTATAAAAATATTACCACATTTTTAAAAAAATTATATCTGACCCGTTGATCTTTTCAGATAGACAGCTCATTAGTTTCTATTTTTCTCCTCGACTATTGTACATGTATCAAATTTGGTCTTTAACTCTTAATATTTTCAAATTAGGTGCATGACTATATAATTAGTATCACATTTGGTCCTTAATATTTTCAAATTAGGTGCATGACTTTGTAATTTGTACCAAATTTGATCCTACCGTCCAATTTTCCGGTCAACTATTACCGGAATTTCAACTAGAAAAATAATTTTTTCAGCAATAATTGTCCGAAAATACTTTTTTAATTAAAACATATTATTTTTTCGTTAATATTCCAACAATAGTTGGTCAAAAACTTGGTCAAAAAATTGAACAGCAGGACCAAATGTGATTCAAATTACATAGTCATGCACCTAAAAATAATGACGGAGACCAAATACGCCATTTCACTTATAACTAAGGAATAAATAATGGATATGGTCATAACTGAGGAATTGAATTGTTAATATAGATATAACTCAGAGACCAAATATGTCATTTTCTCTTGTAAGTATGTTAAAATATAAATGCATATTAAGTTGGAGTAAATACCCAAAATGGTCCCTCGACTATAACTAAATTCACAAATTGGTCATTGACTTTTAATTTCAACCAATTAAGTCCTTAACTTTGTAATTTTAACACAATTTGGTCCTCTGTCTATTTGACCGTTTATTGACTGTGATTTTTGAGGATATATATGTAATTTCATGGTCCATCGTCGATTTTTTAAGGTTCTGGTTGTATTTCCAGACCGCACTGTTACATTTGAATCCACTGCCAAAAGCAATCTACTAAATCCGGTCGCCTTTCTTCATCCTCCCTTAGGATTCAATGTAGTTGAGTTCGTACAAGAGCGAAGAAGACGACGTGTTTCCGAACCAGTGCAACGTCATCCGGAAGGCCACCACGTGCTCCGACGAGAGCTGAAGGTTCTTCTGGAGATTGTCGATCACAGTCAACAAACGGTCAAATAGATGGAGGACCAAATCGTGTCAAAATTACAAAGTTAAGGACTTAATTGGTTAAAATTGAAAGTTGAGGATCAATTTGTGAATTTAGCTATAGTCGAGGGACTATTTTGGGTATTTACACTATTAAGTTGCCTAAGCATAATTTGTTTAAATATTACTCAACAAAAAACTTAGATGGCTTTCTTTAGAACCATCGTATTTTTTTTTTCTAATAAAAAAAAAAAAAATCATTCTTCTCAAAGTTTTGTAAAAAAAAAAAAAAAAAGTTGAGATGTTTGCCCTATCGAATTTCAGAACATCCATTTTACAGGAATTGTTTGATGACCATTTCTGAAAGAGACTAGTAGAAGAGAACATCCCATCTCAGTCAAGAAACATGGACTTGAAGAAAACTATTAGCAGGCAAACTTTCTTTCTTTGAAGTTTCAACTTACCAAAAATTGAATTTCCCATGCAACAAATACCACAGAATCAAGGCCATAACATATCATATAAACCGTGCAAAAAAAAAAAACCTGCATATCTCACCTTATCAGTAACTTGCTACCTTGATAAATTATCTGATCTCATGAACTATTTTCAAGCAGTACTGATTATTGATCTTCTAGAGACTCCTTTTGGCCAATTGTAAGCATCCTATAATTCAATAAAACATAAGTAGGGGACCAGTCAGCTTTATGGATGACGAGAGAATCTTCCATTTAGGTTGTGCTGCTGCTCAGGCTATGATGATGGGGCATCAGTCTTTCCTGTTCTTTCCCAAGAAGTCTTCGTGTTTGGATAATCTTTGGCATCAGAATTGCCTGCTTGTGGGCTCTTACTTGTGTTGCTTTCTCCAGATATTGGCTGTTTATCCTGACCACCAATCTTTGGGCCTTTTCCAATTGCATCAGGTGACTCTTTTCTTGATTCAACCACTATTTCCTTTACTGCCTCCTCCAACTTATCCAATCTCGCTTTCAACTCCAAGAGCTGTGGTTCAGATGCTTCTTCTTTTTCTACCTCTGCCATTTCTTCCATTTCTTTCGCTTTTGCTTCTTCTTCGGCTTGCTTTTTCAATTCCACTTCCTGAATTGGGAATTTGAACAGCAGAATTAATTAGGGACCAGTCATAGTGCAAAGACTTTAAAAGTTTTTGCCATTCAGGTACAAGAGGTTTTTAAAAACTATGAATCTTGCATTTTAAAGACATTTCTATATAGTTTGACTAGGAACTAGGTTCATGGATATAATGGAAGTCATTCATTAAGATAAAGGCGATGCAAATACTAAAATTCCAGCACTTTTACTCGCACTGTATTTACACCTTGTCAAACAAAATGTTAACAAATTCAAGTTTTTAATTCTGAGAGTGGTTAGAAATATGAAGGTTTTCCATCTCAAGAAAGGAAGGAGGCTCAGAATGTTACATTCTGAAACGGATAGTGTATATATAGATGAACCCGTCATATTTCACAAAGAGGAGGAGGGGGTTAGGAAGAAGGAAAGTATTCAAACGAGAAGTTTCATTACCGCTTCCATTCTTCTGATCTCATAGCGAGCATATTGAGCCACCAAATATACAGCTGTTACAAGATATATGATATTCAGATTGTAGCTCCAAAGAACATGTGTAAAGCATTCTAAATATGTGAATTAGAGGTACCCAGTGAAGGCAGGCAGGCAAAGAAGAGTTGTACCAGATGGAAATCCAGCCTGATCATCATAAAATTAAATAGTATTATAAGAAATGCAACATAACTTGAATAAAAACACCACTCACAACAACAACAACAAAAAAAAGAATATTAGTAAGGCCAGTGTTATAAAAATCGGTCTAGGCGCCCCTAAGCCGAGGGGATTCCAGCCCTAGGCTACTTTTAGTCGGCCGGCTAGGCGCCCTCGGTGCCTAACTCGGCCGAGTCGGCGCCCAACTCGACCGAATGATTGTTTCTTTAATTCCCTTGCCTGTACATCGTCACCTACTCGGTTGCTCCTCTTTCATATTCCTCGGTCCTCAGCTAACAGTCTAACATATGTAATTGACTAGTTTGGAAAATTATAACAGTCTAACAGCTTACAACCTACTGCCTTTTTTTTTTTTTTTTTTTAATAATTACTCGGCCGCCTGGGCGCCCGTTAGGCGCTCGGCTAGCGCCTAGTGCGTTCTGCAACATTGAGTAAGACCACACTCACACAACATACACATTAAGATTCAATTCACAGGTCATTCTAAGTCTTTAATCTTAAAGGTGAATGCAGATTCAATGCATTGGTAACATGAGGCTGCTCTTACCACAACAAATATCTTGTCTTCTTCTTTGCTATTTGCCTCTACATGTTCATTCCTATGAAGCTAAGCTTAATTCTTTCAAAAGAAGAGAGAAATACACTAAATCAAACAGCTAAAACATCTTCCACTGAATGTGCTCCCATGTAAACCGACATAACAGATACAAGAATGACAGGCAAGAACTCATGGAAGCCGTAAATGTTCACACAAGTAAGCAATCGAATAGGGAAGTAGTGTTCGATAAAATGCCTAAAAGAAAGTTCGCGACAAGAGTACCCGAATTTCTTCTTCTTGGAAGGCTCTGTGAAGAGGATTTTAGCGGCCGACATGAAATTAAGGTTTTCCAGCTCCTTGTACGCATCATATCGAGTCAACGAAGAAGAAGAAGTAGAAGAAGAAGAAGAAGGGTCTAATACTTCTTTGTTGTTGTTGTTGGCGGGCGGCTTGTTGCCGCTGCAAAAGGATCGTGTTAGGACGGGTCGGAATTTCCCTGAGATTCGCGCCAAAATGGTTTTACCGGCGAGCATCATTCCCATCCACCCAGCAACACATCACCGGCGGCGAGAGAACCTTCAGAGTGGCAGCAGCAGAGTGCGATTCAGAGATCAGTGTTCAGTAGCCGTTGAGGTGTTATTTTTTCCATTTTCCTTTCTATTTACTTATATATTTCAATAATGCTAGGAAATAGGCCACATCATATAATAAAAATATAAAATTATTCTCAAAAAAAATAAATAAAAATATAAAATAATGAAAGAAAAATTAGATGGGAAATAAAGTATTTTCATATACATTCTCATCATGTGCTTTTCACAAATTGAGTGCATTTTATTGACATATTAGTTATGTTAATAGATTGATATTAAAATAACTAATTAAGTGTGTTGAGCATATAACTATTAATGTGCAATTCAATTATCAGTTTGGGCTTAGTTGAGATGAACACATTTAGTATTAAAGCCATGTCAAAAGTCAAAAGTCAAAAAAAAAAAAAAAAAAAAAAAAGAGAGAGACTATGATCCAAGCACGTCACAACAATCTAACTAACTACTTAACCTTTTTAATTGAGATGGAGCACATGCTTCGATGTGAAACATAATTTTTGTATTTTTGTATAAGTTACAAGTTCAATTATTGTAACACCATCTTAATAGAACCCATCACACAAAATCAGGATCTTCGTAATGTGATTTATTCTCCTTACAGTCTTACACACTATACACCCTAATGTCGACTTTTTAAAATCCGAGATCATGGGCACCTAAATTTTGGGTCATTGTGAAAGGACTATAGTACAATATGGATCTATAAGAATAGGTTTATTGGATGTGTACACAAACAAACCAGTAAAGATCAAGACACATGATCATATTATTATTATATCAACAATACAAGTTCATAAATAAGATATTCAACTTAATTTTACATCTCAGTGCTGACAAGAAATACAGAAGCAAAAGAGGTTACAGCATTTTAACAATCAACATGCAAAAGTAAGAAAGAACGGATGAATGGCGGTATCAAACACGCGTTTTAAGCTGAATCCTGCAAGGAAGTTGGATTGGTATCAGTTCATTGTTGGGAAACAAAATTGGTTGCTGAAGTTGATAATATGGGAATAGAGGCTGGTACCAATTTCATCCTTTAGCCTCTGTGAGGCAAAGATTTTCAGTTTCCGAATAGCAATTCACCTAGCCCTGATTTGCTCTCATCCAGTCCACAAAGTTGTCTAGGACCAATGGCCAAGCAAGCTCTGGATCGTAATTGCTAAAATCTGGGAAACTTATCTGTTCAAATGGAGAAAGCCGTAAGGCTATGAACGATACCACAAAGGCCAAGTGCCCGAGTTTGTATAAGAAGCACTAGTAACCAAAAGTATTCATCTAGTAAAAAGAAGGGGGTTCGGGGTGTAATGTAGTAGGAAGCTACAACCCTTTCTAGACAGTAGGTCCGGATTCAAATTCTAGTGCCCTCCTCCCCCCCATCAGACGTACCAAAAAATCGTAAAAGAGAGAAGTGAAGCATTACCTCATTGCAAAATCTATAAAATCCCATCCACTGGTCCATGTTTATGACCTTATACTCGCTCTGTGTCTGACAATAATAATCAAGCACCAATACAATATCATTAAGCAATATGACATATTATCACTAATTCACTTAAATATAGAATCTCTCTCAAAAAAAAAAGGTCCCAATACTTAAAAGGTACCATTGTGCATTGGAAAACACAGCTAGTCTGGGCATTTGGCAACCTAGTATTAAATCACAGTCCATATCATTTAGGCAATACCATATAAGGAATTTAGCTTGAGCTTTTTTTTTTTTGGGTGTACCCAGGGTTTCCACCGTCGGACACAGTGACTAATCCCCTCGCTGAATTGTAGGCACCTCCTCTTTTGGGTGGGACAGCTGGCCTGGAGATTTAAGGCTGCTCCATACCCAAAGCCAAGGATCGAACCCTTGACCTTTGGTTAAGGATGGATGAGTCCCTTCCACTCAACCACACCCTCCAGGTTTAATTTAGCTTGAGCTAAAATAAGCATCAACATACATGTACATACGCGCACACACACGTATATATCAATCCTAAATAACCATCAGAAATCTGAGAATGTCACACCAGTTCGGAAACTGAAAAGGTCTCCACCAATACAAAGGAAAAGATAACGAAAGGAATCACCATTGAAAGGTAACTAACCTGTAAGAACTGAACAAATGCACCAACTTGGGTGCAAAAATAGGGCCCCAAAACAAGATCGAGCAACACACAGATGCTCTCGATGTCTATGCTCTTCTGGTTCTCCTCTAGAAACCAAGAGGGAAAAAGAAAAGATGGTTAGTAGCATAGAAGAAGACAAGACAACAATTAACCAGTTGCCTGTCTAAAGTTGTTATAAATGGTAAAATGGAAACTAAAAAAAAAAAAAATTATGTGAGCAAATAAGGTAAGAGCTGGAACTTGTTTGTCTTCAATTCTATAATGCTACCATCCCATGGTGTTTACCTTGTGCAATTTGTTGTGGCTAAAACACAATCTAAATAAAAAAGCATTTAACTACCAAGTAAACATTAAGAGGTTGTAAAGAAGTGTTATGCGGATTATAGAAATGCCATACCAGTTAAGCAATATCGAAATGCGTAGGCATAAAAGTCCACAAAGTTTGATGGTCTTCTGACCTTCAACATACAAAAAGTGGGGAAAATAAATAAATAAGGAATAAAAGGAAAGGGTTCAGAGTTCATCAAACAGCATAAAATCAAGTCAGAGGGCTAAACATAAGTGGAAATGAAACCCTTGAAAGGTGGTACCTCCTTCTCAAGTTCTGGAAGTGCTTTCTTTATTTTTTGTATTGTGTCAGCTCTTAGTGCTTTAAGCGCTTTTCGCCATTCCTCCTAATAAAAGAAGATAGGATGAGTATACTTTGGACCAGGAAAATAAAGAAACAAAGAGAAAATTAAGTGCCAAGAAATTATCATTATGTAAAGACAATAAAGCAGGTTAGAAAAACTGTAATGATTAATAGATAATAAGCAAGTGCAAGTAATGGTCTCCTGATTACCAGAGTAAAATATCCTTGCTTTTCAGCTTGCATTTTCCTGAAATGCGAGGGATTAGTATTAAACCACAAAACATACACAAAGTTTGTGAAAGTCCTACTTATAGAGTGAAAGTTACCAAGCAAGCATTAGGATGCGAACATCAGTGTGGTCCACTTCCAAATCTGAACAGAGAGACTCAATACCTTCAGGGCTGTTTAAGGGAAAACTTATACATTAGATATGAACAACAAATTTAACATAAAAATAGCAGTAGAACCATTATATGCATGCAACATGTTGGATGAAATTAGGTAGTAGGTACTCTAAAAACTATCAACCCATGGAAGCAAGATAAATAGTTGAAAAGATTTCAATGTTATTTTAAATTTTGGCTTTAAGCAAAATTTTCTTCGGACAATGACCTCCATGGTATTGGTTTAAAACAAGAAATCTGGAAACCAATTAACCACTCTGATTCTACAATAAAAGAATTTGTAAGACAGTTTAAGTGTCTTTGATCAATTACATGTACAAAAGAAAGGGTAAACTTACTCAATTACACCAGACAAATTATTAGCATAGGTATAAAAGACCTGATCAATTCGTTCTAACTCTTTACTTGCTGCTTTACCTGAAGCTGGACAGATGGAAATCACGTGAGAGAGTGTAATACCCTTTAAGCAATGATGTCGTTGTCATAGCAAGTAAATAAAATAGAGAACCAATTCAAAAACATCAAAAGCAAAAGTTAGTGTAATCTCTATCAAGAACAGTATATCTAACTACTTGTAATGAACATCATCTTGAGGCTGGCACTAACCTTTTCCTTTAACATTTTCAATTCTTAGCCAAGAAATATCTTAAACATATCTCTAAGCAAACCCCATCTATCATATGAATCTCCTTCTACCCTATCATTTAATAGCAGCTTATTATTGATCCTAGCAACATGATTTAAAAGTATGCTGGATTGCTGGTAGAATCGGAAACATATTGACCCAACACCTGGGGCAGGGCAGGAAAGTTAAGCTAATTGTATAGTTCCAAACTTCAAATAAGGACACAATCAAACTATAAAGTGAATTCATGTTTCCACTAAAAATACTATAACCATTGTATGCTAACCTCAAACTCCAGAACTAAAGGATTGACACAATGCATCCAAGTATTCAACTGCCATACAAACTTCTTTTATTGTAAAAGGGAACTACGCAGAACTCGGAGCAATCAATTTCAAAAGTTAGCAAAACAAAAATCCTATTCTGAGTCTAGTGACATGAATTTCAAGCATTTCACTAGCATTAATTCTCGTTACAATCTGAATTAAAGGGCTGAAATCAATATCTGATTAACGCCATTCACAGCTCTTTAATCGTGTCTCAAAGGCCAAACACAAGAAGAAACACCACAAATAAATAAGATATATTGAATTTGGAAACAAACAATTCTGATCGCTTATAAAGGTAGCAACTTTTTAGCTCAACTATTCAAAATTTGATATAAAGACAGCAACTTAAAGTCGAATTACTCGAAAACCAATCCGCTAGGAATTAATGAAACGCAATCACATAAACCACAACGCCCCAGAGAAAAGCTAAAGTAATTTTGGCAATGACAGAGGCGGAAGAGGTAACCAGAAGAATTACCAGAGCGAAAGAGATCCACAGCTGATGATGCACGAGGCATCTTTGAAGAACCAACCGGCCACTCAGAGCAGGAAAGTCTGATGATCAGATGACGAGAGGAGATGATCCTCTGAGCGACCAATGCTAAAACGTCGTCGCTCGAGAGTTTCCACTCACTCCCCGTCTCCGAGCGCCAAGTTCTACCCAAGTCCCAAGGGAAGAAGATTTTTTTTTTTTTTTTTTTTTTTTTGAAAGCCCAAGGAAAGAAGATTATTTGGCCTTTAAAAACTAAACAAAAAAATGATAAACGTAGTCTACTTCTAGTTCCTATATGCCACAAGTTCTTGATTTTATTAAAATGAAAATAAAAAATAAAATAAAAATTATAATTTACTCTTTTTTTTATACAGAAGTTTAAAAAAGAAAAAAAAATAGTGAAGGTTTAGTTAAGTTTTTTTTTTTTATTTGGCAAGTCAACTGAGCATCTCACCAAGGCGGGATTGAATAGACAACTAAAATAAGATTCATTTTTAATACATTAAATATTTATTTTTTAAATCTCATTTTTTTTGTATACTAAAGGTTTATTATTTAATATTACCAAATAATGAACATTTAGTACCTAAAAATAAACCACCAGTATATTAAAAATGAATTTATATCTATAATCCACATTACACGGTGAATTATAGTCCATACTATAATTTCCCCAGCAATTATATCGTGGACCATAGTCCAAAAATGACAGATATTTCTTTTAAGTAAAGAAACGGTTGCTGTTACATCTTAACGGAACTCGTACTTTTGGTGTGTTAGTTACAAAATGAAACTACAGTATATCTAAAATGAAACTGTCTCACATATTGTTTTGATATTATCAAATGAATATGTAATTGAATTGAAATGAAACTGTAGTTGTGTTGAAATGAAACTGCAGTGTATATAAAATGAATCTGAATAACAGTTTCACATATTTGAGTGTATATTGTCCAATAAAACTGTAGTTATATTGAAATGATATTGTAGTTGTGTTGCAATGAAACTATAGTGTATATAAAATGAAATTGAATAACAGTTTCACATATTTGAGTATGTAATGTCGAATGAAATTATAGTTATATCGAAATGAAACTATAGTTGTGTTGAAATAAAACTGCAGTGTATATAAAATAAAACTAAATAACAGCTTCACATATTTGAGTGTATATTGTCCAATGAAACTGTGGTTATATGAAAATGAAACTGTAGTTGTGTTGTAATGAAACTATAGTGTATATAAAATGAAATTGAATAACAGTTTCACATATTTGAGTGTATAATGTTGAATGAAACTGTAGTTATATCAAAATGAAACTGTAATTGTGTTGAAATGAATTGCAGTGTATATAAAATGAAACTAAATATGTTATACAAACATATTTACTTTATGCGAAACGACGTGAAACGAGGACCGTTTCTTTTCATTAAAAGAAACAACACCGTTATGGACCATGGTCCACGGTATAATTTGCCATAATTTGCCTTAGCCAACTATACTAGCAATAGTTATGCTGTGCAACCGTGTGCACCATGCATGGTGCACACGGTTGCAAAACGACGTCGTTTTGACTAAAAACACGCGTCTCATTTAAAAAAAAAAAAAATCAGTTTCGATTCCCCTCAACAGCATTATACATTATTTAGACGTATAATTTATTAATTGAATATACATAATATGTTAATTAACTGCAGACATATAATCTAAAAGTATTTTTTTGAATCAAGGTCCATAATATAAGGTGAATCTTGATCCATGGTATAATAACTGTCCACTTTGTCCCTTGAGTTAGTCCCGGGCAAATTATGCTGTACAAATTGCAAAAACGGCATCGTTTTAGTTTAAAAAAATCATTTTCGATTGCTGTTAGTTACGTAAACATATGTTCATAATTTTATAATTTCACATTCTGAATGTATAGTTATGAAGTTATGGATGTGTAGTTATGCAATTTTGAATGTATAGTACAGTTATGAAGTTATGGATGTGTAGTTATGCATGCAATTCTGAATGTATAGTTATGGAGTTATAATTTCACATTATGAATGTATAGTTATGAAGTTATGGATGTGTAGTTATGCAATTCTGAATGTATAGTTATGAAGTTATGGATGTGTAGTTATGCATGCAATTCTGAATGTATAGTTATGAAGTTATGGATGTGTAGTTATGCAATTCTGAATGTATAGTTATGAAGTTATGGATGTGTAGTTATGCAATTCTGAATGTATAGTTATGAAGTTATTGATGTGTAGTTATGCAATTCTGAATGTATAGTTATGAAGTTATGAATGTGTAGTTATGCAATTCTGAATGTATAGTTATGAAGTTAATGGATGTATAGTTATGAAGTTATTGGATGTGTAGTTATGCAATTCTGAATTGATAGTTACGAGGTTATGGATGTATAGTTCAAATTATGTACAACATAACGCCGTTAACGGCAATTGAAACTGATTTTTTTTTTTTTTAAGTCAAACATCAAAACGACGTCGTTTTTGTAACCGTGTACACCATGCATGGTGCACACAGTTGCACAGCATAATGACTCTTAGAGTCTTAGTCCCGTGGGGTGAATGTTAGGGTTTTTAATTAATTAATTAACAGCACGTTTGGTTCACGGAATGAATTTTGAGATAATAGGAATGCTATTCCATAAGGAATAGAATAGGCAAGGAATAGAATATGATTTGTATTCTATTGTTTGGTTCGCGGAAGGAATAGACTTTAGGAATTATATTACAGTGTTTGGTTGATTTAAGGAATAGAAATGAAATATGTTTTAAAAGACATAAATACCCTTATAAAAATATGTGATGGTGGCGATGGTGACAGTGGTGGTGGCGGTGGTAGTGGTGGTGCTGGGGTGGTAGTGGTGGTGGTGGCGGTGGTGGTGTTGACGGTGACGGTTGTGGCAGTGGTGGTGGGGGCAGCGACAGTTGTGGCGGTGGTGGCGGTGGTGGTGGTGGAGGTGGCGGTGGTGCTGCTGTGTGGTGGTTCTGGTGGCGGTGGCGGCGGCGGCGGCGATGGTGGTGGCGGTGATGGTGGCGGCGACGGTGGCGGTGGTGGTGGCGGCGGTGGGGACGGTGGCGGTTGTGGCGATGGTGGTGGTGGCGGCGGCGGCGATGGTGGTGGTGGTGGCGGCGGCGGCGATGGTGGTGGTGGTGGCGGCGGCGGCGATGGTGGTGGTGGTGGCGGCGGCGGTGGTGATGGTGGCGGCGGCGACGATGGTGGTGGTGGCGACGGCGACGATGGTGGTGGTGGCGGCGGCGGTGATGGTGGTGGCGGCGACGACGGTGGTGAAATAGGATAAATTTATATATATGATAAAAAAATTAGGTTAAAGAAAGGGGTAAAAAAGAAAATAAATTCTAAAATCTATTCCTGAGCGTTCAGTAATAGGCTAATACCAGGGGGCCTAGTAATAGCTATTACCTTATTTGAGGTAATAGGCTATTACCAGGAATATTATTCCTGGTAATAGAAATGGTTACCAAACAACGGAATAGGCCTATTACTGGGAATGCTATGCCATTTCCGGCCTATTCCGTGAATCAAACGGGCCATAAAGGTTATAGTAGCACACGAAGTACAAGTCACAAAGCTGCGTTTACGGAGTATGAGCAGTTTACTTTCTTCTTCTTCATCAATTGATGATATGATCATTTTGTTTTTTTCCCCATTATTAATTAATTACTAGTAATTGGAATATGATTGGTTACGATTTATTGATAACAAGATGGTAGTTCCTTAATTGATTTCAATTTTTTTATATTTAATTTGTTTTAAATGAATAATTGTACACATTCTACTTTTAAAACATGAAATATTGTTGTTTTCTTGAATTTGGCTAAACTGATAATTTAAAACTTGCAAATTTGGTTGGTATGATATGATAGAGTGTTGAAATTGAAATTTATTAAATTTGCAATTTAGGTTCTAACATTATTTTCGAAGCTTGCATTATCTTTTTTAAGTTGCATTTGTATTTAATAATTTTCAGACCTATCATAAATTGGATTATGATTTTTGGTAATTGACTCAGTTAAACAAATAAAGAAAATTGGGCAGCTAAGAAAGCCCTTCTTTAATCCAACTATCCAAGTGATAAATACAAAATGTCAATGGGTTAAGACAAAGGCCCAATAAGGGGGTATGCAGTCGTTATATCGTCGACCGCGGTGCATAATCAATTATGCACCGCGCATCAGAACGACGCCGTTTCTTTAAGTAAAGAAACAGCGCGTTGTTAGTATTAACAGAGTGACACTACAGTGTATCTAAACCGACACTGTCTCACATATTATTTTTATATTATCAAATGAAACTGCAATTATATCAAAATGATACTGTAGTTGTGGGTGAAATGAAACTGTCATCTATATAAAATGAAACTGAATAACATTTCACATATTTGAGTGTATATTGTACAATGAAGCTGTAATTATATCGAAATGATCATGTACTTGTATTTTAATGAAACTATATTGTATATAAAATAAAATTAAATAACATTTTCACATATTTGAGTGTATTAATATTGAATGAAACTGTAGTTATATCGAAATGAAACTGTAGTTGTGTTGAACTGAAACTGCAGTGTATACAAAATGAAACTGAAGAACAGAGTTATTTTTTGCGAAACAGATTCCGTTTCTTTTCATTAAATAAAACGACGTCGTTTTGATGCGCGGTGCATAATCAATTATGCACCGCGGTGCACGATATAATTTACCGGGGGTATGTCATCACCAATTTTTATATCGTGCACCAGGGCGCACAATGCATTCTGCGCCCTAAAAATTCCATGTTTCGTATGTATATATAATTGTATAATAGATACACATAAACTCCTAACATAATACATATAATTTAACATAATACATAATACACATAAACTCTTAACACAATACACATGAACTCTTAACATAATACACATAAACTCTTAACATAATACACATAAACTTTTAGAGCGCATAATGCATCGTGCACTCTGGTGCATGATATAATTTGCCTGTCACCACTACCCCATAAATTGGTCAAGTGGGACATGTAAACATTGTCAATATGGGCTATGTTAGCAGGGTATATCACCGCTGCCAACAGGGAGCTGAGGTATTACCGGCAAATTATATCGTGCACTAGAGCGCAGTATGTATTGTGCGTCCTGTCTCAAAATGACATCGTTTTGTAGTTTTTTTTTTTTTT